GCCCTTGGGCTGTCTTCCACTGCTTTCTCAGGCCATTAGCAGAGCACTAAATTGGAAGAAGAGCAGCCAGGACTTGAATTGGCCCCCATATGGGATGCCCGCGCTACAGGCAGAGGCTTAAACTACTGTGCCGCAGCACCAGCTCCGTTCCATCCTTTCAATTGATGAAAATAAACATTTAAAGCAAGATGAGCTCTAAGTCACCTTGACTTACTGCCATCTTTAATTCTGAACCTTGTAGCATTGCCTGAATTACTTTCCAGTGTCTGTAATGTTTATATGACTATACTGAACTCATTCTTTTCTCTTTAAGCCCATTATTATTTCGTTTAACTTGTTTGTAAGCTTACCAGACACCACAGATCATGTAGACATTAAACTGGACAACTGGGAGGAAATGAGCACTTTCCTTGAAAAACAGACTACCAAAGCTCAATTAAGAAGAATTAAGTAACCTGAAGAGTTCTATATTTATAAAAGAAGTTATGCCTACAGTTAAAAATCTTCCCTCAAAAAAAAAAAAAAAATCCTCATGGTAAAAAGTTTCCCTGAGGTTTTTTATAAAACATTTAAGGATAAAACAGTATCAGCTCCATACAGGTCTTTCAGAAAATCATAAAATGAGTTGTTAATACTCTTATTAAGTCAGTATTATCATAATATGATAGAAAACTGCAGACCAATGTCTTCCATGAAAATGATAAAGAACCTTCATTTAGATTTTAACCTGATGAATCAATGTTGAAAGAGAATTATACTTTTTGACCAAGTGGAATTCATCCTAGGAATGCAAAATTGGTTTAACATTTGAAAATCAATGTAATTAATCTTATAAACCAACTAAGAGAGAAAACTATGTAATTATCTCAGTAGGTAGAAAATTTTAACAGAATTTAGTGTCAGTATCTGCTAATGATTTTTAAAACTGTCAGTAAAATAAAATTTGAAGGGAACTTTGTCAGCCTGTTAAAGAACAGCTGATGAAATGCTGTGATACACATTATACTGACAGTTGAGGGCCAAATGCTTTCTCTGTGAGATCAGGAGCGAGAGGATGATGTTTCGTCATTGTTACTCAGCATTGTGTGGGAATTCTGTTTAGAGCAGTAGGGCAAGAAAAGGAATTCAAAAGCATCCAGATTGGAATGGGAGTAGAGCAGCTTGTTAGTGTAGAAAATCTCAAAGATCCACAGAAAAGGCTAAGACATACATAAGCTTAGTATAAAGACAGTATACACAATCAGTTTTTTTAAAGATTTATATTTATTTGAAAGGCAGAGTCAGAGAGAGAAAGAGGAGGTCTTCTATATGCTAGTTTACTTCCCACGTGGCTGCAATGGCCAGAGCTGGGCCAATTTGAAGCCAGGAGCCAGGAGCTTCTTTCTGGTCTCCCATGTGGGTGCAGGGACCCAAGAACTTGGGCCATCCTCTGTTGTTCTCCAAGGCACATTAGCAAGGAGCTGGATTGGAAGCAGAACAGCTGATACTTAAACCGGAACCTATATGGGGTGCCAGTGCCACAGACAGCTGCTTTACCTACTAATCCACAGCACCGGCCCCTATACAAGTCAATTTTAGGGACAGGTGTGTAGCCTACCAGTGAAGGCCCCTGTATCTCACATCAGGTTCACAGAGTAGTACATGGGTTAGATTTCTAACTTCTGATTCTTTGTGAGTTCAAAATTATTTCAAGATAAAATGGTCTTCTAAAAAAGATACTGGTAAGAAGATAGACAAGTCACAGAGTAGCAGAAAATAATTGCAAAATTTCTCATAAAAGATGTATATCCAGAATATATAAATATTATAAGTCAGTAGCAGTAACCATTTTTGTAAGTAAAAGAATCAAATAGTTACTTCACCAGAAAGATACATGAGTGTCAGATAAACGCATGACAAGGTTCTCAGAAACATCAGTTATTGGGAAATGCAGAACACAGTGAAATACCTCTGTACACCCACTAGTACAGATAAGATTAAGTGACAGTCACTAGAATGTGGAGCATCTAGATGTTGGTGTAGATGAAAAATTAAATGGACGGTTTAGCAATTTTCTAAAGTTAAATAAGAGACTCAACAATCCTAATCCAAGGTATTTACCCAAGATGAATGGAAAAAAAATAACTGAATATTTATACTAGCATTGAAGTAGGCAGGCATACAGGTTAAAATTGGTCAGATTTGTGAACTGGAAGACCACGCCCCTGTGTGCCCTCATGCTCCTACCTGATGCCTTTGTCACGCCCCTGTGTGGCCTCACTCCCCTACCTGGCCACACCAGGGTGCCCACCAGCCAATCAGGTTAATTAACCACTCCCCTTTGGAGTGGGTTAAAAGCCTGGGGCACAGTGTGCTCGGTGCTTTTCACCTGCTCTTCTTCCCTGGCCTCTTGCCAGGACAGGGCTTGCTGTAGCCCTGTGCCTCCAGGGCGCATGGCCTTTGGGCCATGTGCTCTAGGCTTCCTGGCCTAGATGCTCATCCACGTGGCTGGTTCCCGGTGCTCGGTATGAACCCCTATTCACTTCTCTCTCCTAAATAAAGCTCTCACTCTCTTACGCACCTTTCTTACTAAATAAAAGCTTGAAACATACCATGCTGCTTCGTTTATCTGTGCCGGTATTTAGAATTCTTCTCTAAATATTAGGCAAGAACCCTCTCGGGCTTACTAATATCGGGGATTTAGTAATAAGCCCGTGGTGAAATAGTAAGGCACCCCAAATTCCGGTAGCGCATGTGGCACCCCGGATAACATTTCTATGGAACTTTAAAGGGCCACATTTCAGGGTAAATTTTAGGGGGACTTGTCCGATTTCAGCATCATTCATGATAGTAACCGCCAAACTGGAAGCAACACAATGTTCAAGTGATACATGCACATTGTAGAATACTACTCCTCGGTAAAAAAAGAGTGTAGTATGAATGTGTCTCAAAAACATTAAGGGTAGTGAAGGAAGCCAAACTAAAAAAAAAATTTTAAGATTTATTTATTTGTTTATTTATTTATTTGTTTGCTTCAAAGGCAGAATTACAGATGGTGGCCAGATCAGAGCCAGGAGCTTCTTTCGGGTCTCTCACGTGGGTGCTGGGGCCCAAGTACTTGGACTGTCTGCTGCTTTCTCAGGCTAATTAGCAAGGAGCTGGATTGGAAATGGAGCATCCGGCACTCAAACTGGTTCCCATATGGAATGCTGGCACTGCAGGCATTGGCTTAATCCTCTGCCCCACCGCACAGGCCTCCAAAGATTTATTGGTTTGAAAGGCACAGTTGCAGAGACAGAGGAAGAGAGAAGCTGGACTCCATCCATGTCTTCCATGTGGGCCACCTTTCGCTGCTTTCTCAGATGCATTAAGGGAGCTGAATTGGAAGTGGAGCAGCCGTACTCAAACTAGTGCACACGTGCGGTGCTGTTGCTGTGGGCAGTGACTTAACCCACTGTGCTAAATGACATGCTGTACGGATTAATTTATATGCAGGTTGAGAAAGTTAAGTATTTGAAGGCTGCAAGTGGTGGGGGGGGGTGTTCAGAGATGGACTATGTTGGAAACATTTTAAAGTGGTGGAAATGTTCTTTCTCATGATTTTGGTATTGATTGCAGGATTGTATACATGTATCAAAACTTATCAAGTTGTAAGGTTGTTTCTGCTGCCTAGGAAACTCCCTTCTGTCCCTGCCTGGTTAACTCATATTCAGGGTTCAGATCTTGGGTAAACACCATGTCAGGGGAATCAGTTTGTGAGCCCAGACTAGCATAAAGCTTCTCTGGCTTCTTGTGCCCTTCCTTCGTCACCCTTGCCACAGCGTTAATTGCAGTTGGGCAAGTATTAATGATCCTAAGGTCACTTTCTCTGTCCTAACTACAAGCTCTGCAGGAGCCGAGTGCTGATTACTGCTAAGTTCACAGTACCTGGCTTAAGCTGGGTGAGGTATTCGAGTAAATGTTGTGCGACTGAGTGTAAGCTGGTCAGGTTCTCTGAGCCCTGTGTTTAGAGCAGCCTGCTTAACCCTGGGCATCTCTGTACTGCTCCTGGGGAGTTGTGACAATCCATGCTCAGCTGCCCGCCATTGTTCTGTTCAGACTTTGTGTGGACGTTGCCGCTCTGTTTGAGAGTAGAGAGAAGCCTTTCTTTGCCATGGTTCTTTGAGCAGAAAGAGAAGTGTATCCTAAACATGCTCTTGATTTACTCACCCTTTTCTTTGGTTTCCAGCAAGGTAAGAAACTAAAAGATAGTTCAAAAAGTTCATAAAAATGCATATCAAGAAAACTATGCGTGAATTTCAGTTTTTTGCACCCAAATATATTTATCATTTACTTCAATTTTCCATGCTTTTTGAAGTACTGGTGCACTGAGCCCTCCTTTCTCTCTTCTTGATCTTGTATTTTCGATCCTGCTTCTTATCCCTTCAACTGTCACAGCCTCAACATAGGCATTACACCAGGAAGTTGTTTTGGAGGTCAGATTGTCTCACAGTGGAAGCACCTTGGTGTCCCCGTCTGTCAGGCAAGATGAAGGCATGCTCACCAACCTAGGAGCCTGGCCGTTTGCTGTTCTTTCCACTGGACACTAAGGCAGAGTGTTATTCCTGAGGAAGGAAAGTTTGTCGGTTTGTCGCAGCTATTAAGGTTCCAGTACTCTCTAGCGAACATATAGAAAGGACGGGTTTTCAGTTTTAAACTGTGGAGGCGACTTTTACAACATTTAATTGTAATTATTTGCTTTCTTTTCTAATCTTTAGGTGAGTTAAGATTATTTTAATAATGCCAGTGGGCTTCTATGTTGAGGAAACTGTTCATGTTAATTAAAGCTTTAAAAAAACAGTCATTTAAGTATGGTGTATGCTAAGCAAGGTTCAGTAGTGTTCTTTCTCACTGTGATTTTCAATGAAACAGCTCTTTTAACATCTCAGCTGTCTTTGTTACTATCAGTAAACAGAAAGTAAAGACTTAAATTTTAAGATCAAATTCTTTTTGTTAATGTCACATTTTCTTCCATTTTGCAGCTTCTTGGTGGATATTTGGATGAAGCCATTAAATTAATTGCTTGCCATCATGAGCAGAAGCAAGCGTGACAACAATTTTTATAGTGTAGAGATCGGAGATTCTACATTCACAGTCCTGAAGCGATATCAGAATCTAAAACCTATAGGTTCTGGAGCTCAAGGAATAGTCTGGTAAGTTTTCACTTGCAAAATTAGGCTTTTCTCCTCCTGTAGATACCTTGGTAGATAAGTAACTTGCCTCAGCACATTAAATTAAAACTATAAAAATTAAATGAAAGCTATAACATGGTAAGTTGTTTTCTTCAAGGATTAATATTCTTTTTTATTATTCATAAAATATAACTATAAATTAGCACTGACATCTTTAAGTGTAAACTGTGGTAAAATACTTGGTCATACACTATGTAGAGACAAATCTATGCATCAAGAAAGAATGGCATGCTTGTTAATTCCATAATACATCTATTCGCATAGCTAACTGTTTAATAAGAAGTCTCACTTCATCATCACTGTCCTGCTGTAATGAAACTGAAATTTCCTCCTCCTGGAGAATGTGCTCAGCTAATATCATCTCTCTGAATGTGTTTCAAAACTCACAAGTATCTTTAAAAATGATTTATAAGCTGATTTCTACAAAAGGCCCAAGCTTTATATATCAGTATAATTCCTTATAAAATGAAATGTGGAACACTTCTTGGGAGAGTTCTAATGATTCTGAGTCATTAAGTTAGAAAATAAGTGAGTGTTTGTGGAGGAATTTAAGCCGCACACCCAAGCATAATTACATCTTTATTAGCTCCTCTTGACCATGTTTGTTTCAGGATCTATTTAGAAAATCATGAGTGTTTATGATCTAGTGCATTTGCCAGGTTCTAAAAAACTAGCACATGTGCACCAAGAATCATGCATAGAGCTATTTTTTGCTGCACTATTTGTTTATAATAGCAAAAACTGGAAGCAGTACCAGATCCATCAACAGAATAAAATTTTGTGATGTAGTAATACAGTGATATACTATGTACCATTTAAAATGAACTGGAGCTATAGATATCAGCAAGGGCTAATTGCAGAGATGTACAGTCGAGTTTAAAAGCAAGCTGCAGATTTAATGTATACATACACACATAAATATACCATTTATAGGTGGTTTAAAACTTGCCAAGCAATGCCATATATTTCTGGATGCATACATAAGAAAAAAAAGATGAAAACAGGCATGCAAACCAACTGAGGGTATTGCTTACTTCTGCTAGAGAAATGGAAGAAGGCTTTGCCTGTTTTTAAAAATTCATAGTAATTATGGTAGAATATTAAGATCTAACAAATTTGTATAACAACTACTGGTGTTGCCTTTTCTGTGTTCTTGAAGTAATTTATATTTAAAACTACAAAATGAAAGTAATTTTATAAACTGTTGACTGCTTATCATTCTAGCTAAACACACTTAACCCACCACAAGTATAATTTTAAAGAGTTTATTATTGTTGGTACTAGGATTCTGAAAGCCTCTTAGTTTAGATTTTAACTGTGATTTACTAACTTTGTGACTTCTAAGGCCATTTGCTCACTTAATTTACAACGTTCTAAGGATTATGCTACATTATTTAATAAACAATGAGTTAAAAATACATTACTGTTTCTGTGTCATCATTTATCTTCCGGCACATGCTCCTTGAAAGTTTGTTTTCTTCTTCTTTTTTTTTTAACAGGGAGAGAGAGAGAAAGGTCTTCCTTTGCCATTGGTTCACCCTCCAATGGCTGCCGTGGCCGGCACACCGCACTGATCCGAAGGCAGGAGCCAGGTGCTTCTCCTGGTTTCCCATGGGGTGCAGGGCCCAAGCACTTGGGCCATCCTCCACTGCACTCCCGGGCCATAGCAGAGAGCTGGCCTGGAAGAGGGGCAACCGGGACAGAATCCGGTGCCCCAACCGGGACTAGAACCTGGTGTGCCGGCGCCGCAAGGCGGAGGATTAGCCTATTGAGCTGCAGCGTCGGCCCTGTTTTCTTTCTTTCTTTTTTTCCCTATTGGTAAGCAAGGTAGCAAGGTTTATTGGGGATAGGGTATCTGTAAGAATGGATGGGCACCTCTCCTGATAGAACCTGAGAGAGAGTGCCCTACCATTTCCTTTTTTAAAGATTTATTTGAAAAGCAGAATGCCAGAGTGAGAGAGGGGGAGAGGCAGAAAGAGACCTTCTATCCACTGGTTCACTCCCAGATGGCCACAATAGCTGGGCTGGACCAGATTGAAACTAGGAGCCAAGAACTCCATCCAGGTCTCCCATGTGGTGGCAGGGGCCTGCGCACTTGGGCCATGCTCTGCTGCTTTCCCAAGCACATTAGCAGGGAGCTGGATTAGAAGTAGAAGAGCCAGGACTTGAACTCATGCTCCTTTGTAGGATGCTGGTGTTGTTTATACAACACCAGCCCCACTTCGTAAGTTTTGTACAATTTTTTTTAATTGCTGTATGTAGAAGGCCCTTAACTCCTTTTAAGAAGCTCCTGTCAGGGCCAGTGCTGTGGTGTATTAGGTTAAATTTCCACTTGCAGTGCTAGCATCCCATATGGATGCCGGTTCTAGTCCCAGTTGCTCCACTTCCAGTCCAGCTCTTTGCTATGGCCTGGGAAAGCAGTGGAAGATGGCTGAAGTACTTGGGCCCTTGCACCCACGTGGGAGACCTAGAAGAAGCTCCTGGCTTCTGATTGTTCCAGCTCTGGATTTTTGACCATTTGGGGAGTGAACCAGCAGATGAAAGAGTGATCTCTCTCTCTCTCTTTAACTCTGCCTCTTATATAAATAAATAAATCTTAAAAAATAAGAAGCCCCTGTCCTAAAGAGTAAATATATATATATATAAATATTTTTATTTGACAGGTAGAGTTAGACAGTGAGAGAGACAGAGAGAAAGGTTTTCCTTCCATTTGTTCACTCCCCAAATGGCCGCTAATGCCAGCGTGCTGTGCCAGTCTGAAGCCAGGATCCAGGTGCTTCCTCCCAGTCTCCCATGCGGGTGCAGGGGCCCAAGGAACTGGGCAATCCTCGATTGCCCTCCTCTGCCTTAGCAGAGAGCTGGACTGGAAGAGGAGCAACCGGGACTAGAACCTGGCAACCATATGGGATGCCGGCGCCACAGGCGGAGGATTAACCAAGTGAGCCACGGCACCAGCCCCAAATATTTTCAGATTTTCCCTAAAAAGTAGTCATTTCCATAAAAGATTATTAGAGAAGTATTTAATGCAAAAAATTTGAAACTCAGTGTTGTGTTGCTATTGCCATCAAACAGTGTTGGGGCCTCAACACTGAGGTATTTCTGATTTGTGCACATTTAAGAATTAGAAATCTAATTTCCTTGGACAGCATAGTAGAATCTAGTCAAATACTTTTGAACTTTCAGAGTGAAATTTTCCTTGGATTAGGCAAATAATTAATAAGAATGAATTTAATGGCTAAAAACAAAACTTGCTTTATCTGAAGACAGTCAAAACTTCTGATTGTTTTTGCATGACCACTAATGTTTTCTTTTTTTTTTAATTTGTTAGTGTGGCATTTTAAAATAAGGATTATAATATATATGCATATTTTATGCATGTGCATTCTTGTGTTTATATTGGCAGTAGGTATATAGAATACATAGATATGTCCATTTATGCAGTTTGAGTTTTTTGTTGTACACTATATTTGGTGTGATGGGAAAGCTACAAAACAAGTTAAAGTTTTTGGAAAGATGACAAAATACTAGAAGTAATGAGCTGGCTTTGCAAATATTACATAAATAGGAACAGTCATTTAATTGTTCAGTATGAAAAGCATGGTGTCATGTTTCAATCTTCCAGTCTCAGCTTTGCTTTTAATTTTCTGGCTAAATTAGGCAAATTACTCAACCATTGGCCATGTATTAGGCAGTGGTGAATCTGAGCAATTATTTTTTGTTTGGTTGGTTGGTTGGTTGGTTTATTTATTTATATGAAAGTCAGAGAGAGGAGAGCCAGAGAGAAAGAGAGGTCTTCCATTTGCTGGTTCACTCCCCAATTGACCACAATGACTGTAGCTGCACCCATGTGAAGCCAGAAGTCAGAAGCTTCTTCCAGGTCTCCCATGTAGGTGCAGGGGCCCAAGGACTTGGGCCATCTTCTACTGCTTTCCCTGGCCACAGCAGAGAGCTGGATCAGAAGTGGAGCAGCTGGGACTAGAACCAGCACCCATATGGAATGCCGGCACGGCAGGCAGCAGTTTTACCTGCTATGCTACAGCGCCGGCCCCTGAGTGATTGTTAAGCTATTTCAGTCATAAAGTTCAGTAATCTAAAGACATGCTACTTTATTTGTGTTTCATTTTCTCTGACCTGTTACATGTGAAGGGTGCCATCTGGTCAGTGTTATAGGGTAGAGGAAGATATGAAGACTAGTAAGTGTGGTGTTATATGTCCCAGTTATGGAGCAGCTTCTGATGTCTTCAAATCTAGCATTCATGTTTGTGTGTTTTTTTTTCTTTCTTTTTTTTTAACTTTTATTTATTGAATATAAATTTCCAAAGTACAGCTTATGGATTACAATGGCTTCCCCCCCCCCCCCCCGCCCTGCAACCCTCCCCTTTCCCGCTCCCTCTCCCCTTCCATTCACATCAAGATTCATTTTCAATTCTCTTTATATACAGAAGATCAGTTTAGCATATATTAAGTAAAGATTTCAACAGTTTGCACCCACATAGCAACACAAAGTGAAAAATACTGTTTGAGTACTCGTTGTAGCATTAAATGACAATGTACAGCACATTAAGGACAGAGATCCTACATGAGGAGTAAGTGCACAGTGACTCCTGTTGTTGACTTTACAAATTGACACTCTTGTTTATGGCATCAGTAATCACCCTAGGCTCTTGTCATGAGTTGCCATAGCTATGGAAGCCTTTTGAGTTCACCGACTCTGATCATATTTAGACAAGGTCGTAGTCAAAGTGGAAGTTCTCTCCTCCCTTCAGAGAAAGGTACCTCCTTCTCTGATGACCTGTTCTTTCCACTGTGCTCTCACATGCGGAGATCTTTCATTTAGTTTTGTTTTTGGTTTTGGTTTTTTTTTTGGTTTTGGTTTTGGTTTGTTGTTGTTGTTGTTTTTTTTTTTTTTTTTGCCAGAGTGTCTTGGCTTTCCATGCCTGAAATACTCTCATGGGCTTTTCAGCCGGATCCACATGCCTTAAGGGCTGATTCTGAGGCCAGAGTGCATTTTAGGACATCTGGCATTCTATGAGTCTGCTGTGTATCTCGCTTCCCATGTTGGAGCGTTCTCTCCCTTTTTTATTCTGTCGGTTAGTATTTGCAGACACTAGTCTTGTTTATGTGATCCCTTTGACTCTTAGTTCTATCATTATGATCAATTGCAAACAGAAATTGATCACTGGGACTAGTGAGATGCCATTGGTACATGCCACCTTGATGGGATTGAATTGGAATCCCCTGGTATGTTTCTAACTCTACCGTTTGGGGCAAGTCAGCTTGAGCATGTCCCAAATTGTACATCTCTTCCCTCTCTTATTCCCACTCTTATATTTAACAGGGATCACTTTTCAGTTAAGTTTCAACACTTAAGAATAACTGTGTATTAATTACAGAATTCAACCAATAGTATTAAGTAGAACAGACAAAAAAAATACTAAGAGGGATAACGTATTAAGTTGTTCATCAGCAGTCAGGGCAAGGGCTGATCAAGTCACTGTTTCTCATAGTGTTCATTTCACTTTAGCATTCATGTTTGTAATAAATACCTTGGATTTATTATCCAAAATAGATTTTTAAGGACTTTTTAGGAATTCTAAAGTCTTTTATTCATACCTGTTATTGTACCTTCCTCTTTCTGTATTTATCTTAAATCTGAAGGATATAGGATATAAGCAATGTGTTCAGGCAGAATCCTTCAGTAAACATTTTGAGTAGAGTTCATGACCATGCTTATATTGCCTTTCCTTGATATAGGTGCAGGATAAAGGATTCATTTGTACTATCTAGTAGACCTAAATACTCATTAAGTATTTGTGCATTGAATGGTCACCACGTGTCAGGTGGGTCTTGTGGACACATGGTAAACAAGCTGGGGCTCTGTCTTCACATTGCGTCATCGTTTTCAGAGATAGTTGCTGTATGTTGTTGGAATATGCTGTAATAGGATTAGAAGTCACATGGTGAGCATCTGGAAAGCAGTCTGTTTACATTTGTCTTGGGAGAAGTGGGGAATCCACTTGAAATGTTTAATTTGGTTTTTGCAGATGTTTGCTCACTTTTTTGTTGTTGTTTTTGAATTTCTTATTATAGTGCAGCTTATGATGCCATTCTTGAAAGAAATGTTGCCATCAAGAAGCTAAGCCGGCCGTTTCAGAATCAAACGCATGCTAAGAGGGCCTACAGAGAGCTGGTTCTTATGAAATGTGTTAATCACAAAAATGTAAGTGAGCATTTTACATTAAGTACAGGTGATCTAGGTATCAAGATTTATTCATGACTGTCAAAGACTTTAAATAATAGGGCTTCAAAATTTTTTTTCTGGATTGAAGCAGTTTAAAAGGCATATAAATATATCTATGACTGCTTTTTGTTTCAACTTTATTAAATGGTATTAAAAGAAAAATAGTTTCTGAAATGTAGGTTGTGCAATTTTCTGACATTTAATTTACAAGAAGAGTTTTAAAGAGGTAAGTTTGAGAAATGATTTTATTGAGGCTGGATTTCACCTTCTGTTCATCAGACTGACAGTTCAGAAATACTGTAACCTTAGCATGAAGCCTAACAAAGGCCATTTTACTTTGATATAGGGACTTTGTTTAATCATAGGGAACACGAAATTCAAGTCATTTCTCCTTTCCCACGCCCTCTTTAAATGATGACAGTACTCGTCCAGTGCTTGTAAAGCAGTATAGAATAAAGTTTTTGAAAATACTTGAAGGGAATTGGGAAAATATTTCTAATTACATTTCTTAATGATTATAAAGACCTTACATAGAACTTTTATTCTTTTTCAAGATAGGTTTTTTTTTTTCCAACTTAGCATTAAGTATATTGATACTTTCATGGTTACATTAGTGGGGTGATTTCTGCAGGCTGAGAGAAAATAAAACTTAAGAGTGAATTGTGCCAGGGACAGTTATATGAAGTACTAAGCTGAAAGCATCTGGAGAGATTTTGTGTTATTTGTCCAAAGGAGTTTATAAGTATAATGAGCTGAGTGCTTTCTGGTTGCAGATAGTACAGTTTACTGCATTTTGAGAACTAACTATGTGTCAGCCTTTGTGTACTAGTTACTAACATTGACACTAAGGGAAGAATTCATCAAAGTTAAGGAGTAGGGGCTTAAGAAGGTAAAGGGAGGGGCCTTAAAATGTTTTAAGTCAAAAACAGAGTTAAATATCAAACATCACAAAGGGTTAGAAGTTAATTGGCAAATAATAGTGGCTAGGTTTCTTCAGAGAGATTTTTATGAACTTTTTAATAAAGTGGGAAGACTCTGGGAAGAGTGTGTTCAAATTGGTTTGTTCAACATAAAGCGTATCCCCAGAAAGGAAGAATGGCATACCCAAGGCCAGAGATGGAGGCGAATGTCAGTCAGTGAAGTGAAGACTTTGTGGAAGCCATTCTTGTTCCAGGCAGGAGGCAGCTATGCTGCTCGTCCGAATTTTGCTGCAGGCATCCTGCCCTTGGGCAGAGTCGCTCCTGCTCCTGGTAACCGTGGACCTAGTGTCTTCCGATGGCTGTGGTGGCATTGCTTCGTTTCTCCTTTGGGAGAGGTGTCCAGTTGTTCCTACCTCCCAAGCATAGTTGACTGCAAAGAAAGATGACTAAGTGGAGCCTGTGGGGGTGCTCGTGTCACACGATTAGCCCTCCAGCAGGGCTGGCACAGATCATCCAGGAGTACCCCGCAACACCTGGGAGAGCACCAGGTGCTCAAAACATTTGTTCACTGAAAGAATATAAAACTGAGTATGAGGAAACTAGGAATGTTGACTGAACATTTTCCACTTCTGATGGATGAATGTTTTTGTAATGTATTGCCTTTTGAGCAGTTTCATGTTCTGCCTAGATCATACCCCTCACCCCCTCTTTTTAAGGATTTTTATTTATCTGTTTGAGAGGTAGAGTTAGACAGAGAGACAGAGAGAAAGGTCTTCCGGGTCTTCCATCCACTGATTCACTCCAAGTGGTTGCAGTGACTGGAGCTGAGCCGATCTGAAGCCAGGAGCTTCTTCCAGGTCTCCCACTTGGGTGCGGGGCCCAAGCACTGGGGCCATCTTCCACTGCTTTCCCAGGCCATAAGCAGAGAGCTGGATTGGAAGAGGAGCAGCCGGAACAAGAACTGGCACCCATAAGGGATGACGGCGCTGTAGGTAGAGGCTTAGCTTACTGTTTTGCAGTGCTGGCCCCTGGATCATCTCTTTATTGGTCTAAACAGCTCTGGTTTTTCCCACAGTCTTCATAGATGGTTTTGGGTTTCTTTGTTCAGTGTGGTTGCTTATCTGTACACATTGCCAAGTCACCTTGTGTAGGGTACTGTGTCTGACAGAATTCTCTGTCAGGAGCCAAGGCAAGGCGTCTCCTCTAAGTGTGGGCATTCAGATGTTCAGAAGTCTGACTCATGTTGTCTAAGCAAGTTACTCCTCATCACAGGCTACTAACAGGTCATAGTTAGAGTCTTAATCTTTCCTTTCAGTTTTGGAGAATTAAGTTACAGTACTTTTTATTTCTTCCTATTGAATTTCAAAGCTGAAATTTTGTTACTCTTCCTATCAGAGATCACTTTTTTGCTTCTTTGTCCTGACTTTATTTGTTGACTTCATTTCCCAGTTTTGTTAGAAAGTCTTCATAATAGTGGAGTAGTTGATTAGCAGCCCTTCAGCAGATTGCAAAATTAATGTGTCTTTTGGGATTACCCAGCACTCTCTTCCCTTTTTAAAAATGCCTTTTTGAAGACTTCACATGTTTTATTTGGGAGTATTTCTCTGATTTATTGCTGTTACTCTTTATTGTTTTTATTCACAGAAAGAGCAGTGTATCTCAATTCTTACATACTTTCAGGAATTCTTACTTGACGTGGTGGTCATAACCCGTCGGTCAGTCCTTGACTCTGACTGGACTGGGTGGTTTAAACAGCAGAGATTGAGTTCTCAGTTTTGGGGCTGTTCAGCATGAAGCTTCCTAGTAAAAGCTCTCTCTCTGACTTGCAGCGGCCATCTTCTCACTTTGTGCTCATGTGGCCTTTGCTTGCTGAGTGCTTATAGAAAAAGAGAAAGATCTCTCTCAGAAGGCCACTAATCCCACTTAGAGGGCCTACTTCCATAAATTCATCCGAACAATCATCTGTCAGAGGCCCCATCTCCAGTCATTGTTATGCTGGGAGATAGGACCTCAGTGTAGGAATCTGGGGGAAGATAACCCTTCAATCTGACACTGGTGTTAGAGCAATTATAGTATGAACAGTGTAAAGGAGATGTTAGAATCCTCGGCCTGTATGGTAGCCTAGGCATTAGAAAACAGAGATTGAAATTGAGGCTGATGGTAGAGTAAATAGCATTCCTTGGAATATTTGTTATGGTGCAGGATACTGAAAAAGGAGTTAAAAATCACCAAGCCTTCTATTATAAAAGAGAGGACACACTGGAATAGTGAAGGGTTTGAATAGGAATGAATGAGTAAATTGTGTATTTTGTGAGACATCCATGTAAACTAGCAATGTATATCTGGCACTCAGAAGCTAAGCAAAGGGGCAGGCACTGTAATGTAGCAGGTAAAGCCACCACCTGCAGTGCCCGCATCCCATATGGGCCTTGGTGCAAATCCCAGCTGCTCCACTTCTGATCCAGCTCCCTGCTAATGTGCCTGAGAAAGCAGCGGAAGGTGGCCCAAATGCTCAGGCTCCTGTACCCCCGTGGAAGACCTGAAAGAAGCGCCAGGCTTCTGGTCGGCCCAGCTCCAGCTGTTGCAGCCATTTGGGGAGTGAAACAGCGGATGGAAGACACACCCCTCTGCCTCTGCCTCTCTAACTCTGCCTTTCAAATAAATAAATAAATCTTTAAAAAACAAAGAAGCAGCAGCTAAGCAAAGACTCCAGATGCATATTCGGGAATTATCCATATGGAGATGTTTGGAGAAAAAGATGTGCAGGGAAAGGGCCCAGCCAGAACAGGATTAAAGACAGTAGTGGGAGAGAGTATGCGTGAGGATGAACCAGGGAAATAGACCTTGGAACAAAGAAAATGGAACGGGAACAGTATTATGAAGAGCAAGGGGAGGAAAATGCCAAGATTACAGTAGTTCCCTCCATCTGTGGTTTTGCTTTTCACAATTTCAGGTACTCAACAGTCCTTGTGGCCCAAGAATATTATGTGGAAAATTTCAGAAATAAAAATTTGCAAGTTTTAAATTGTGTGCTATTCTAAGAACAGTTATGAAATCTCGCACTGTCCTGGTGTGTTTGATACCAGACATGAATCCTCCCTTTGTGCATTGTGACTATGCCGTATGCCTCTTAGTCCTGAAGTAGCCATTTCAGTTGTCCGTTTCACTGTCATCGTGTCACAGTGTTTCTGTTCACTAGGTAGTAGCCTAATACAGTGTCACAGTGCCTTTGTCAGTTTCCTCATCTCATCTCATCACATGGACATCGTACTGTTTCACATCACAAACAGGAAGGTGAGGGGCCGGCACTGTGGCTCGGAAAGTTAAGCTGCTGTGTGGAATACCAACCCATATGAGCACTGGTTCCAGTCCCGGCTGCTCTACTTCTGATCCAGCTCCTTGCCAATATGCCTGGGAAAGCAGTGGAAGACGGCCCAAGTCCTTAGACACCTGCCACCCACGTGGAAGACCAGGGTGAAGTTCCTGACTCCTGGTTTTGGCTCAGCCCAGACCCAGCCATTGCAGCCATTTGGAAGTGAGCTAGTAGATGGAAGATCTCCCTCTTTCTTTGTCTCTCCCTCTCTCTGTGTCACTCTGTGTCTCAAATGAACAAAAAATTTTTTTTTTTAAGATTTATTCATTTTATTTGAGAGAGTTACAAACAGAGGGAGAAAGAGACAGGTCTTCATTCACTGGTTCACTTCCCAAATGGCCATAAACAGCCAGAGCTGGGCCGATCCATAGCCAGAAGCCAGAAACTGCCTCCGGATTCTCCACGTGAGTGAAGGGGCCCAAACACTTGAGCCATCTTCCACTGCTTTCCCAGGCTATAGGCAGGGAGCTGGATTGGAAAAGCAGCAGCCAGGACACGAACTGGTGCCCATATGGGATGCCAGCACCGCAGGCAGAGTCTTAACCTACTGTGCCACAGTGCTGGTCCCAATTAATAATAAATCTTTGAAAAGAAAAAGACGAGTGTAATACAATAAATATTTTAAGGAACCACACTGACATAAGTGTTTTAATATACTTTATTAAATTCATGGTTCCGTTTTATTAATAGTTATTGTTTTAGGCTCTTAGTGTGTCTAATTTGCAAGTTAAGCTTCATGATAGACACGTATAGATAGGAAAAAGAATAGTATAGGGTTCCACACCGTCTGTGGTTTCAGACATACACCGAGGACACAGATCTGCTGGTTGAAGAGCTGCAGCGGGTTTTTAAGATTTACTGAAAACTGTGTAGAGGTTTGTGTAATGTAAGTGCTTGACACTTGTGTGTTTATAAATGGAATGGGTTATATGAAATTATGATGTTGATAAGGTTTTTTAAAAAGCATTTTAGAGCAGTTTTAGCTTCACAACAAAATTGAGAGGAACATACAGAGAGTGTCCGTGTCTCCCCTGCTCCCCAGCATGCACAGTCTCCCAAAGAATCGGCACCCCCCACCAGAGTGGTGTGTGTGTTACAGCTGATCCTCCCTGACACTGTATCAGAGTCTGTAGCTCATGCTAGGGTTCATTCTTGATGGGGCATATTTTATGATTTGAACAAACATAAAATGAGGTATTCACCTCTATGGTATTGTCTGCTTTTTCATTTCTTCCTTCCCCACTCCCCTCCCCTAGCCGTGAATGTTTTAGTGTATAAAATAAAAGAAGGGTGGGTGTTGTGGTACAGCAGATTAAACTGCCACTCGAGACACCCACATCCCATACCAGAGTGCATGGTTTGAGTCTTGGCTACTCTGCCACTCTGCTTCTAATCTGGCTCCCTGCTAATTCACAACCCCAAGTCGTTGAGTCCCAGCCACTCACATGGGAGCCTGGTAGCTCCTGTCTTCAGCCTGACACTGTGGGAGTGAACTAGGGGATCAAATATAGCACTCTCTCTGCCTTTCAAATCAATAAAAATAAATAGGTATTTAAAAATAAAAGGTTACTTGAGCTTATAAAATTTTAGTGATTATAGTGGTGGCTTTTTATAAAACTGTATTTGCAGTTTGCAAATGAAAATGTTATGAAGTGGTTTCTAATTTTTCTGTTTGTTTTCTCCACAGATAATTGGCCTTTTGAATGTTTTTACACCACAGAAATCTCTAGAAGAATTTCAAGATGTGTAAGTGTGTCAATTAAAATTGTATTATGTTAGTACATTATTCTTAGATTGATTTGTACACTTTAGCTGTCATCTTTTTCCACCCATGAAGTTACATAGTCATGGAGCTCATGGATGCGAATCTTTGCCAAGTGATTCAGATGGAACTAGATCATGAAAGAATGTCCTACCTTCTCTATCAGATGCTGTGTGGAATCAAGCACCTTCACTCCGCTGGAATTATTCATCGGGTTAGTAGAAAAAGCTATCCTTTTTTTAAATCATTGAGATGAAATTCATTCAACAGAAACAGAATGAACCATTTCAAAGTGTACAGATCAGTAAAACTTAAGTACATTCACAGTGCTGTGTACTACTCATATAAAATCCTATGTTGTTGTCATTCCCAAAAAGAAAAATCCATGTCCTCATTCTGCTTTCTCCCCTGTGCCTGGTATCCCTACCAGTCTACTTTTCTGTGTCTGTGGATTTATCTGTTTCAGATATTTCATGTAAATGGAATCCTATGTGACCTTTTGTGTCTACCTTATTTCACTTAATAGTTTCAAGTTTTGTCCATATAGCATGCATTAGTAGCTCATTTCTATTTATATGCATATTTTTATATTCTATATAGTACATTTAGTTTATACATTGACCCATACATGGACATTTGGGTAATTGCTACCTTTCAGCTGTTACAGATAGTCTGTTTCAGTTCTGGATATTTTTACATAATAGGTAACTGGTAAATGTGGTAATTTTATGGTGATTTTTTGAAAAACCATCAAACTCTTTTTCACAACAGCTGCACTATTTTACATACCCAGTAGTAGTGTATAAGGGTTCTAATTTCTCCACATCTTTGCCAATACCTTTTATCTGACCTTTTGATTCTAGCCATCTTAGTAGATATGAAATGGTATTTTCATTGTGGGTTTGATTTGTATTTCTGAAGACTAATATCAAGTGTATTTTCATGTGTGTGTTTGCCATTTGTATGTTTTCTTTAGAAAACTGTTTAAGCCTTTTGCCCATTTTTAAATTATGTTATCTTTTTGTTTTTGAAGTTGTAAGAGTTGTTTATGTATTCCATATATTAGACCCTTACCAGGGACACTCATGCCACGTAACAACATTTTAGTCAACAAAAGAGCACACATACAAAGGGGGTTGCATAAGATCGTATCACTTAGTGATGTCATAGCCATCTTAGTTTGTGCAAGTACCTCTCATGTTTGCATGACAGTAAAACTACCTAACAGTACATTTTTTCAGAACATATTCCCATTGTTAAATGATACAGGACTGTACATAATTTGTAAGCAGTTTCCTCATTCTGTAGGTTGTCTTAACTTTGTTGATGATATTAATCTTTAATACACAGAAGTTTTTAATTTTTATGAAATCTAGTTTGTCAGGATTTTTTCTTCTGCTTGTGCTTTTTTTAAAATATTTTTTATTTTTTTTTTTTTTAAGAGGTAGAGTTACAGAGAGAGAGAGAAAGGCCTTCCATCCGCTGGTTCACTCCCCAAATGACAGCATTGGTTCTGGCTGACCTGAAGTAAGGAACTCCCTTTGGGTCCCCCACATGAGTGTAGGGGGCCCAGATACTTGGACCATCCTACACCACCACCCCCAGGCTGTAGCAGGGTGCTGGATCTGAAGAGGAGCAGCCGGGACTCAAACTGGTGCCCATACAGGATGCCAGCGCTAAAGGCAGAGGCCCAGCCCACTATGCCACAGCACCAGCCTCCTGCTTGTGCTTTTTGTGCTATATGTAAAAATTTGTTGTCAGATCCACGGTCCTGAAGATTAAATCTTATGTTTTTTTCTAAAATTGTTACAGTTTTAGCTCTTTTATATAGGTCTTTGATCCATTTTGATTTATTTTTGTATGTGGTATGAGATGAGGGTCCAGATTATTCTTTTGTATGTGGAAATCCAATAGTTCCAGCACCATTTGTTAAGAGACTGTTCTTTTACCATTGAATGGTCTTGACACCCTTGCAGAAAATTAGTTGGCATAAATATGTGGTTTTGTTTCTAGACTGTGAATTTTATTCCATTAGTTAGTGTGTCTGTCTGTGTAACTGTCACCTTTATCTTGATCACTGTAACTTTACAGTCAGCTTTGAAATGGGGAGTTGTGAACCCTCTAACATTATTCTTTTCTCTTACTGTTCTCACTGTTGGGGTCTCCCTGTGATTCCATTTGAATTTGAAGACCAGCTTTTCCATTTCTGCAGAAAACACAATTAGTATAGATCTAACTGAATCTGTTGATTGTTTTGGTAGTTTTGCCATTGTAACAGTGTTTAGTGTTCCAGTTTGTGAACATGGGATTCTATTAGGTTGTGTGAGAAGTCTTCAAAAAGTTAATGGAAAATGAATACAGTGAAAAACTATGAATTTTAAAAGATTTTGCATCAAAATAAGCATTTATTTTAGTCACATTTTTCTACCTATTTTCTACCAACTTCTTGAATATCCTTCATATTAGTGTGCTGAGGCTGCCATAACAAAATCCTACAGATTGGGCAGCATAAACAGCAGACATTTCTCACAGTGCTGGAGCCTGGAAGCCCGTGATTAAGGAGCTGGCAAATTCGGTTTCTGGTGTGGCCTCTCTGAGAGAGCTGCAGATGGCCACCCTCCTGCTGTGTCCTGAGTGGCTTTTCTTTCTCAGCGTGTCCATCTGTGTATCTGTTCTCTACCAGGATGCCAGTTCCATTGGATTAGAGCCCCACTTTGATGACCTCATTTTAATCTTACTTCCACAAAGGCCCTGTTTCCAAATGCACTCAATGGATTTTAAGACTTCCACACTGGAATTTGGGGGAGACACAAGTTAGTCTAGTCTTTGATATATTATTTCATTTTTTTCTTTCACCTTCTTATTTCTGGATGTTTCATTCTTTTGGAAATTGTTATACATGGAACTATATTCTTTTTAAAAAAAAAATTTTTTTTTTTGAAATTAATCTACACATTTATAATCAATTGATTTTCAACAAAGTTACAAATAAAACACACAAAAAAATGGACAGATTGTTCAACAAAAGGTGTTTGGTACACTAGATATCCACACACAGAAGAATGATCTGACTCTCCTGTTACACCATATATATAACTCAATTCAAAATTAAATGCTTAGTCATATAACCCGAAACTCTAAGCCTACCAAATAAAAAACTATGGAGGAAAAACTCCACAATATTTTTTGAACATTTTTTAAAAAATTTTATCTAACCACAAAAGCATAGTCAACAAAAGCAAAAATAGCCATAGGGGATTGCATCAAATTTATTTATTTATTTATTTTTTGGGACTCTCAGTATCTGTTTATTGTCTCTGTCAAATATACTTTCTTTTTTTTTTTTTTAACTTTTTATTTTTTTTATTTTTTGACAGGCATAGTGGACAGTGAGAGAGACAGAGAGAAAGGTCTTCCTTTGCCGTTGGTTCACCCTCCAATGGCTGCCGCGGCCAGCGCACTGCGGCCGGTGCACCAAGCTGATCCGATGGCAGAAGCCAGGTACTTCTCCTGGTCTCCCATGGGGTGCAGGGCCCAAGCACTTGGGCCATCCTCCACTGCACTCCCTGGCCACAGCAGAGAGCTGGCCTGGAAGAGGGGCAACCGGGACAGGATCTGGCACCCCGACCGGGACTAGAACTCGGTGTGCCGGCGCCGCAAGGTGGAGGATCAGCCTAATGAGCTGCGGCGCCTGCCTTTTTTTTTTTTTTTTTTAACTTTTATTTATTGAATATAAATTTCCAAAGTACAGCTTATGGATTACAATGGCTCCCCTCCCCATGACTTCCCTCCCCCCCGCAACCCTCCCCTTTCCCGCTCCCTCTCCCCTTCCATTCACATCAAGATTCATTTTCAATTCTCTTTATATACAGAAGATCAGTTTAGCATATACTAAGTAAAGATTTCAACAGTTTGCACCCACATAGCAACACAAAGTGAAAAATACTGTTTGAGTACTCGATGTAGCATTAAATGACAATGTACAGCACATTAAGGACAGAGATCCTACATGAGGAGTAAGTGCACAGTGACTCCTGTTGTTGACTTTACAAATTGACACTCTTGTTTATGGCATCAGTAATCATCCTAGGTGTTTTTTTGTTTTTTTTTTTTTTTTTTTTTTTTTTTTTTACAGGCAGAGTGGATAGTGAGAGAGAGAGAGACAGAGAGAAAGGTCTTCCTTTGCCGTTGGTTCACCCTCCAATGGCCGCCGCGGCCAGCGCGCTGCGGCCGGCGCACTGCGCTGATCCAATGGCAGGAGCCAGGAGCCAAGTGCTTTTCCTGGTCTCCCATGGGGTGCAGGGCCCAAGCACTTGGGCCATCCTCCACTGTACTCCCTGGCCACAGCAGAGAGCTGGCCTAGAAGAGGGGCAACCGGGACAGAATCCGGCACCCCGACCGGGACTAGAACCCGGTGTGCCGGTGCCGCTAGGTGGAGGATTAGCCTAGTGAGCCGTGGCGCTGGCCCATCCTAGGCTCTTGTTATGAGTTTCCAAGGATATGGAAGCCTTTTGAGTTCACCGACTCTGATCATATTTAGACAAGGTCATAGTCAAAGTGGAAGTTCTCTCCTCCCTTCAGAGAAAGGTACCTCCTTCTCTGATGACCTGTTCTTTCTACTGGAATCTCACTCGTGGAAATCTTTCATTTAGGTTGGTTGGTTTGTTTTTGTTTTTGTTTTTGTTTTTTTTTTTTTGCCAGAGTGTCTTGGCTTTCCATGCCTGAAATACTCTCATGGGCTTTTCAGCCAGATCCACATGCCTTAAGGGCTGATTCTGAGGCCAGAGTGCATTTTAGGACATCTGGCATTCTATGAGTCTGCTGTGTATCTCGCTTCCCATGTTGGAGCGTTCTCTCCCTTTTTTATTCTGTCGGTTAGTATTTGCAGACACTAGTCTTGTTTATGTGATCCCTTTGACTTAGTCCTATCATTATGATCAATTGTGAACAGAAATTGATCACTGGGACTAGTGAGATGGCACTGGTACATGCCACCTTGATGGGATTGAATTGGAATCCCCTGGTATGTTTCTAACTCTACCGTTTGGGGCAAGTCAGCTTGAGCATGTCCCAAATTGTACATCTCTTCCCTCTCTTATTCCCACCCTTATGTTTAACAGGGATCACATTTCAGTTAAGTTTCAACACTTAAGAATAACTGTGTATTAATTACGGAATTCAACCAATAGTATTACGTAGAACAGACAAAAAAAA